TTTTTTTTTTTTTTTTTTTTTTTTTTTTTTCTGTGGTAACTTTTTATCTGTGTTGATTTGTGGTTCTTGTTGCGATGTTCTTATTCTGTGAGTATTTGTTGCTAGACCGTGGGTGAACAAGAGAATGAGGAAGAGCAAGAGGCCAATCCTTCTGCAAAGAAGAAGGGCCGTGGATCAAAAAGAAAAGCTGCTTCACAGTACAATACTGTAAGTACATTGTGCTCTGGTATCAGGTTACATGTATATAGGAGTTGCAAAAGTGATGACATTATAATCCAGCATAATTTATTTTGACTGTTAGTGAGATGCTTAGTTTGAGACATGATATTTGTATCCATGTGGTGAAAAGCAAGTTGGTCTGATGTAGTTTGACCATTGGTTTTGACTTGAGTTCATGAAACACCATCATTTCTCTCCCTTTGCTTTCTGAGCAAGGTTTTAAGCATGGACATTTTTGTTTCATTATTCACCATTCATTTGTAATTCTGCATTTACTATGAGTTATTTTAATCATGTGCGTTATTGTGTTTGAAATTCCTTTAGAGGAAGGCCAAACAGGCAGTTGCTGCCATGCTGACCAGATCTAAAGAAAGTGAGGAGACTGAAGATACGAACATGAGTGAGGAAGAAAAAGTTGAGAAAGAGCAGAAAGAGCTCATGCCTTTACTGACAGGTGGGAAATTGAAGCCTTATCAACTCAAGGGTGTAAAGTGGCTGATTTCCTTGTGGCAAAATGGATTGAATGGGATTCTTGCTGATCAAATGGGTCTTGGGAAGACAATCCAAACAATTGGATTTCTCTCGCATCTTAAAGCAAAAGGTCTGGATGGGCCATACATGATAATTGCTCCTCTGTCAACCCTCTCAAACTGGATGAATGAGATTTCTAGGTAGATGAGAAAATGACTTGTTGAAGATTATTGGATAATTAATTATATATAATTATGCATGCTTTTACATTTTGATCATTATTTTTTTTTAATACATGTAAATAGATTTGCCCCATCACTCCCTGCCATTATCTACCATGGTGACAAGAAACAGAGAGATGAGATCCGAAGGAAGCATATGCCTAGAGCCATTGGCCCAAAATTTCCTATAGTCATAACATCTTATGAGATTGCTTTAAATGATGCAAGGAAATATTTCAGGCCATACAATTGGAAATATCTTGTTGTTGATGAGGTAAATAAATTCACTTGAAGGTGCAAAAGTTGCTGTGTAATTCAATGTATTGACTCAGCAATACTCTAAAAGTCTGTATGCTTCTGTTCTAACTAGATGTTTGTCTTTTGAAGGGACACAGACTCAAAAACTCACAATGCAAATTAGTGAAGGAATTGAAATACATAAATGTTGAAAACAAGATTCTTCTAACGGGAACTCCTCTTCAGAATAATTTGGCAGAACTATGGTCTCTGTTGAACTTCATTTTGCCTGATATTTTTGCATCCCTTGAAGAATTTGAGTCATGGTTGGTATCCTTTAGTTATCAGCTATTTATGAGATCATGCTTTTATTCTTTCCTCCAGTCTTCATCTGATGATGTGCCAACTCTGAATTGAGATTGTTGAAAATCTAATTCCCTAAAATGTTTGGTGGGTTTTATAGTGAGCAATTGAGAGATTTTATAGTGATTCTTTAGCATATTGAAGGGAAACTATTTGGGCCAATTCCACTATATTTCAATAAATTTTGACCTGTTTGATATTGTTATGAAGTTAATGATTTAATGAATTTGTTTCAATCATTATTAGGTAATTCTCCGATTTTAATGTGCTTTTCGCTTGAATTTGTTGTGTTCTGCCCCTACCCCCATCTCTGCTCACTTGTATTAAATTTACACAGGCAAAGTCTGTTTTTCTTCAAACCTTGTTGCTTTCAACTCTGTTATGTTGCTCTTCTCTATATGAACAATTTTTGCCTCTAAGGCATTTGGCAATATTGATTTTGGTTTAATGCAATTGAAAACACTGCTTTTGTTTTACTAACTTTTATAAAATACAATTCCTTGTAGGTTTAATCTGTCTGGAAAATGCAATAATGGGACAACCAAGGAAGAACTGGAAGACAAGCGAAGAGCTCAAGTATGCACTCTCTCTTGCTTTTGTATTACTTGTCAATTCTAATTTGAGCCGGAAGGCTAACTATGACCTTATCTATCACTTGTAGGTAGTAGCAAAGCTTCATGCAATTCTTCGACCCTTTCTTTTGCGTAGGATGAAGTCTGATGTTGAGATTATGTTGCCACGGAAAAAGGAAATTATTATCTATGCAAACATGACTGAGCATCAAAAGAATTTGCAGGATCATTTAATTAATAAAACGTTGGAGAACTATTTACAGGAAAAATCATTAAATGGTAAAAGATTTGCTTACTGTTTTTGACTTTGTTATGCACAATGCAGATAGTGTTCTTGAAACTGGTATATCTTTACCCTCATTGTATTAATACATTATCTATATTGTACTGCTTTACTGTAGGACATGCTGTACGTAAGATTCATAATTTGGTTATTCAACTTCGGAAGGTGTGCAACCATCCTGACCTCATAGCTTCACCCTTTGATGGTTCATGTAAGTAACATCCAGTTGAGCGGCTTTGCTGATTTCAAAATCTATTATTCTTAGCTAAACTATGTTTTTCTTTCTTATAGGTTTATATCCTCCTGTAAACGAGATAGTTGAACAATGTGGGAAGTTCAATTTGCTTGATCGATTGCTGCAACTTTTATTTGCAAGGAATCACAAGGTATGTTTTACAATGTTGTTTCTGTATTTCCTTTTCCTTTTGTTACTAGGCTGCTACTTATATGCATTTGCTAATTGCTACCAGGTTCTTATCTTCAGTCAGTGGAGTAAAGTGTTAGATATAATGGATTATTATTTTAGTGAGAAGGGCTATGAAGTTTGCAGGATTGATGGTAGTGTGAAACTGGATGAAAGGAAGCGACAGGTATGTACCAATGCATGGATGACATAATCAGATAATTCAAGCTGATTTTTGTTTATTTATTTTTTCATTTTTTGATTATTGCATTTTATTTTAGGCTTTGAACATTTGATATTGCTTAGCCCTTGCCCCCTTTGTAATCTACAATATGTACTTTTTTATATGGTTTATTTCAATTTACAGGTCTGTTAGGCTGTGTTTTTATGAAGTGTTTTTCTTATTGAAAAAGGTTTAAACTTTTATGGCAGATAAGATTTTTATTTTTATAATGAATAGATAATCCTGAATAAAGGTGTTTTTTTTTTTGTAAAAGCTAGAAAGTAGTTTATGCACAAAATGCTATATCATAAAATCATTTTTTTTTCAATCTTACATATGCAGCTTAGATAACCAGCAGATTTTTGTAGTTTTCTGGAGATCATGATATCTCACATTTATGAAAGGCAGGATTTTACTCTCTTCTTTAAAGCTTATTATATGTTAATTATTATTATTAAAGAAGTGTTAACAATATTCTCTTCTGCACATTTTTTATTATCAGCTGAAACATATTGGATATTGCAAATGTTTGTGGGTCTTACTATTTAATGTCTTTCACGTGATGTTGATTATGTAATTTTCTATAAGTTTTAACTAGTAGAGATCGTTAGAAATAGTGCTACGAGCACTTTTTTATTTTTTATTTTTATTTCCTTTAAATAAGCATTATTGGCCATTCCCATGTTAGTTAGCAAAATACTTGTAGGTAAGATTTGATTTAGGAAATATTTGTTTTGCACGTATTTTTGTTGCAATATAATTTTGTTATCATCTGATGTTCCATTTGTAAATGTAATCACTGATTATGCATTTAAGTGGCTGAATTTAAGTAATAGTTCATTGGTAACACTTCTTCTGCCCATGACCAGATCCAGGAATTCAATGATGCAAATAGCAATTGCAGAATTTTTCTTCTTTCTACAAGGGCTGGTGGATTGGGAATTAACCTCACTGCAGCTGATACTTGCATTCTTTATGACAGTGACTGGGTACTTTTTTGACATTTTCCAAGTTCAACATTATATCTATATGGTTTACAATGTTTAGTTTATAATCTCCATGTATCTTGTTGAATGCCAGAATCCTCAGATGGATTTACAGGCCATGGATAGATGTCATAGAATAGGCCAAACAAAGCCTGTGCATGTTTACAGGCTCTCGACAGCTCAATCCGTGGAGGTATTTGGCAATATTGCACATTGGGCTGAATCTGTAGTGTGACTAGTTTTTTTTTTTATTTTTTTTTATTTTTTTATTTTTTATATTTAGATGGATATGACAAAGTCTATTTACAGGGTCGCATGTTGAAAAGAGCTTTCAGCAAATTGAAGCTGGAGCATTTAGTGATTGAGAAAGGACAGTTTCATCACGAACGTTCAAAACCTGTCAGTACGGATGAAATGGAGGTTTGTATTTTAGCAGTTGCTTTCCAATGATTTCTTATTTTTGCTTTTATCCATGTTTTGATAAAAGTAGAAAAGGATTAGCATGCCTTTGGTGTTGAATGATTTTGGTCGTCAACTCATAACTTTATAACATGGCCAAAAATTAAGTTTTGAATTGGTCGGATTAGATGATCATGCAGATCGTAAATGATTAGTCTCGTGTATTAGAACTTGTACACCTCCAGGTTACAAATTACCAAGACTTTATGGGGATTTGTTGTCACTAGATTGTGTTGTGTCCCAATTTGTAGGGTAATGGATCAGCCTAATATAAAATTTACTAGAAATATGAATTGATGGGGACTGTGGCACTCGCGTCGTCTTTATTATTGGGATGCACTTGTTTGAATCTGATAGTTGGCTTTACCATGTTTTAATTTGTTATTTGTGAATGATATAATTTTAGGAAGAGGATGTATTGGCATTGCTTCGAGAAGACGAAACAGCCGAAGATAAAATGATACAAACAGATATTAGTGATGAAGACCTGGAGAAGCTCTTGGATCGCAGTGATCTTGTGATCAATAACTCGAACGATGATAACTGTAAAGCTCCAAGCAGTTCCTTTCCTCTTAAAGGGAGAGGGTGGGAGGTGGTGATTCCAACTGCCACTGGGGGAATGCTCTCTACTCTTAACAGCTAGCTTCTCGTCACTACTAATGGCTTTTTGTAGTATGATATGAGATGGAATGGCTTTTTGAGACGGTCTCATGTCACGGAGGTATTGTCCTGCAGGGCATTCATTTTTGTATATGCTTTTAAGGTAACTATGTTTAGAACTGAAGCTACTCTGGCCATGCTTTTTGCGACTTGGAATTACACACTTAATATATTGAGTGGCGAAATTTCATGTTCAATGAAATGAATTGGTTTGGTTACGATAAACCTTAACAATTTTTTTTTTCACTATCAGATTAATTCAAGATATTTGCAAAATCAATTTATGCAAAATATATCGTCTCCACTGTTATTCACTTATTTGAACTCAGTTTATGATCGAGGTTCTCAGTTGCCTAATAAATTGTTGATCATCTCTTTACTTGTCTGTTGATTATTAAGACCATTGAGATATGATTTGATTCAAGACTTTATTTTAGTTTAGTTGACAAAGTTTAGTCATATAATTGTTGATAAAAAGTTAACGGTTAAAAATTATGCTAAGATTAATTTTTATTAAATAAAATATAAAATTAATTATAATATCAATTTTTAATTTTTAATTAATAATTATTATTACATTTTATCTTTAGAGTCATGAGTATAACTCAAGGATTTTCCTTTTTCTTTTTAAACATCACATTCACGTTAGTGGATGATTGCTCAAATAACATCTCATAAGGGTCTAACATCTATTTGACGTTTGAGGATTTTGTAAAACTCATCATAGTACAAAGCGACTAATATAATGTTTGTTTTTAAGATAAGTTTTTGTTTAAGGGAATTAACCTTTTTAGGACGAATTAATTTCTCCGCATGAGAATCGATTATTTCACAAGAAACAAGAAAATGAATTCTCGCGATGATTTTTACATTAAAAAGGTGATTTCCTCTCTTATAAATTATAATTCAATTTCACTTCGTAGAAATGGTTCTACTATAAGAGTGTTAATTCTCAATTTAGAAACAAGATTTTTGTATTAAAAAATATTGTTTTAATCTTAAAATTATTTTTAAGCTTTTCCATGTTACGTTGGTGAACCAAACTTAATTAAGATTGATGAGCTAAATAAATATAAGGTCTTACACTTAGGTATGTGTTACATTATTTATTCTTCATGAAAAGTTACAATATTGCGATTAAAAATTCTAGAAAAATAAGTTGAAAAAAAAATGCTTAAAGATATACATTTTTGGTAATAAAAAATGTACATTTAATTCTTAACTTTTTCAAATAAGCAATTAAAATAATTTTTAATATATTTTTAATCCCTATAAAATTAATGAAATATTATTTTTAATCATTGTAAAATAATTAAATTTTTATTTTTATTTTTATATTATATATGTATATATTTATTTTCATTCGTCTTAAATCTAAATCAATTATTTTTAATCTCTAATGATTATTTTAAGGTAGATAAATAACATTTATTTTAAGAATTTATATATTTTTTTAGAAATATTAAATATTAATATGATCTCAATATTTAATTTTTTAATAAATAAAATATAATTAAAAAATGGCTTAAATATGTTTTTAGTCCCTCAAATTTAGGGTAAATATGTTTTTAGTCCTTCAAATTTAAAATTGTTATTTTAAAAAATCTTATTTTAGTCCCTTAGGTTACTAATAACATATTTGAAAGTGACTAATTAAGACAATTATGCAATATTAACCGGATTTAATGTGATATTTTCACTATTAAGAATACTAATAGGTAAATTTTATAGAATAATGTTTGATAGGGACTAAAACAAGATTTTTGAAAATTACAGAAATTAAAAATAACAATTTTAAATTTGAGAGATTAAAAATAAATTTATCTTAAATTTAATGAACTAAAAACATATTTAAGTCTTAAAAAATAATCGTATAAAAATTGAGACTATAAATAATAATTTAAATTTTATAGAAACGAAAAATAAAAGAAATTTTTTAAAAGAACTAAAATCAAAATTTATAATTTTATAGAGATTTAAAAAATATATATTTAAGCTATTAAAATATATTTTATTGTTATTTTATTTGAAAGGTACCCCCTTAATAGAATAAAACAATTACTTGGTTCTTACTCTTAACCCTGCACTTTGCACTTGCAGGGTTCGCTTGCTAAACCTAAACCTAAAAACTGGAAGTACGCCACTCCGATTTGTGATGACCGAAAATTCACCAATGCGAACATAAGGTAGCTTGGGTCGGTTCCAATTTCGAATTTGGTCTTGAAATTTTGGTTGTAGTCGTGGAGATGATAACCCAGTCTAAATTTGCGGAGCAGCTCCGAGATTACCAGATTCGATACAAGCGCAAGTATTCTGCTCTTACTTTCTTCTCGCCCAAACCCCAAATCCAAACTCGGTAGGTATCATTTTTAACCCTTTTTCTTTAAACTTCGTAAATTACATTTTATGCCCTCGTTTAGCTATATACTAGATACGTATTTGTTGAGCAGCTCCTCGTGTAGCAGAATAGCATTATGTTCATTCACTTGTCAGCTTTTATTGACAATGAAAGTTATATTGCCCAAACAGAAAAGTTAATTAGGAGCTTTTTTTATTGTTGGTATTTACATGGCTGTGCAATCTATGTTGTGAAATTGCATAAAAAAATAAAGAAAATAAAAAGAGTTTGAATTGGGTACCATGTATTTGGGATTCTGGAATTCTCTTTTGCATAGATATACTGAAGGATATAACATTGATGGGTTAACACGAGAGATAGAAGATGTGCACTTAAAGCCGGTTCAGGTCTGGGTATCAATTGCCATGTTATGAGGTCAGATATGATCATAGATATCTGTCAAATGGATGGGTGGATTGGATAAATTTAATTCAGATTATAATAGATGGATTAATAAAAAGTCGTTTAAAAAGTCAATCAGTCCGTGATCCATCTAATGCATTTAATTTAAACCATCTAATTCCTATTTAACATTTTTTCGATGGATATCCAATCCATTCATAAATTTATTTTTAATCATTAAATGGTTTTTAATTTTTTTTATGATTATTTCAAAATACTCCCTCTCATCAATCCACAAAAAATATTTGTGAGTTAGTATAGGTTGAATTTGGCTAGACTTGTTACCCGAACCAATAAAAATACTCATTCCTAAAGTGTTAATTAGATGGTCTATTTATTTTGAAAATAAGAGAGGAGGAATGATTATCCATCTATTTAATTATTTGATTCATCCAATTCTATCCAAGTCTTTTTTATTTTAACTACTTGATGGATTGGATTGGATTTTACATGGATGGACCAGATGGATTATGGTCAAATAGATTCCTTTGATTGGTTGGATGAGAATATCTTGGAATGCTAGGTTTTCCTATCTGATCACCAACTTAGCCACGGTGTTTGTAAAGAGCTTGCAGTATTGTGTGATGTGGGGATCTAGCCTGTATATAACTATGTGATGTCAATGATGGCAAGCCCTCTGAGTGATTGATGTAGAAAATTTGGGCTGGGCGGGGAGGGGGGAGGGGGGG